CATGGGGTAATTTAGCTTTTTATTTAATAATAATTAGGTCCCTTGGTAATTGGTAATTGGTAATTACCAATGAATTGACCCCCTCTAAGAACTGTGCTTTTTAAGAATGTGTCATTTTAAAAGCATGCTTTAGCAAATGTTAAGGAAGTTTTTAGCTGAATACTATTCACATTTTAGTTTCTTGTTATGCTAGAAAATATTCCAGGAAGATTTTCAATAAGTGACTGCGTCTTGCAAAACTCTGTGGTTTTAAGTTCATCGTGTGTTCAGTTTACATTTTGCTGAGAAGTTATAAAGTTAGGGTATAATGGAATTAAATTTATTTGATCTCTCAGGTCCAGCTCCTACAAAGACAAGCATGCTCTAATTTACATAATAATTGCTTCAATAAAATCAGCATGTTTGCAGGTAACTGTGTTTAGCTTTTGTTGTATCAGAAATTCAGGTTGCTGAGCAGATTTTTTTTTTAATTCTCTTCCTGTGTTTATTGTTACCATATATGTAAATTTAAAAGGCTTTTTTCCATTTTCACTATTATTTCAGGTAATAATTGCTCTTGCAGAGAAAAATCGGTCACACGTTCCCTACCGAAACTCTATGATGACCTCAGTGCTAAGAGACAGCCTGGGAGGAAACTGTATGACTACCATGATAGCAACGCTCTCTGTAGACAAAAGAAACATAGATGTATGTTATTTCCATCTGTTTTCAAGGAAAAAATTTTCACTTTTTTCAAAGTCTGCTCTTTTGACTTTTATTACAGTTTGCAGTTCAAGTGTGTAGGCTTTCATTCTTATCTACACAAAAAACATTTCACCATTGTCTTCAGAAGAGATAATTCGGTCGGTGGAAACTACAGTAAGATGGAGACAAATTCTTCCTGATATTCTGTACAAGAGATCTATTTGTCACTGATTTCATATTTCAGATCCAACTTCTACCAATTGATATAGGCATATACCATGTATGACAATAATATCAGAGTATTTTTGGCAAGTTTTTCAGGATAGATATCAGTATTCAATAAAGCAGAGTATAGTCAGACTATAAACACCTTTTAGGAAATGGGATATTCTCTAAGTAATCTTAAGTGAGGGAGAAGTTGGGAAAGAACTTGCACTTAGTAGTCAACCAATAAAATTTAAAAATTGAGCGCTTTTCTGATGAATAAATCTTTGAGTTATGGAAAAAAAGATTTCCATGGAACTTTCCAAAGGACACATGGATGGGATCTATCAGAATTCTGATCGTGCTGAAAGTCTTGAAAGAACTCCTGTGGACTTCTGTGGAGCCAAGATTTCATCATTTGAGTATTGTAGAAAATTCAAGAGTTTGTGGTGGTGGTGGGAGGGAGTTGGGTGGAATGATTAGGATTTTTTGGACACTTTTCGGATATTTTTAGCTCCTTTCACTAGGTTCCTGCCCTGGAATTCTACATATTGATATCGTCTTCTCTTTGTTTACCAAAATATATGTTGCAATGTGCATACCTAGAGCAATGCTCAAAGCAGTTTATAATCTAGTTATTTCCTGATTTTCTGTAACATGAAACTATTTTGCTATGAGCAAACAGAAGATAAAACTATTGGAAAAGCCTATGATTATTTTCTGAAATACAGTGGAAAGCGCTATACTTAAACAGTACTTCATCTGGTTGAAGATGTTTTCTTCTTTAGAAAAGGACTTTGCTGTTAAATGACAGCAAATTGTTCAGACTTGTAAACATGCAGTTATGAAAGTGTGATGTCTGGTTACAAATGCAACTGGAAAAGTCTCTTAATGCATTTTTTAGGCTGCATGAGATAGTCACCCTTTTGTAAATCAGTTCAGCTAGTGCTGAATCTTGCATTGCAGTCCAGGTTCTATTTCTGAAATATTTAGCCCCAACAATTATCCAGACCAGGATTCTGACAGCTTTCATGTTCTTCCTTTAGCATATACCATCTGTAGGACAGATCCAGTTTCTCAGTCCGCCCAAAAATAAACAGAAATCCCTGCACTGCCCCCCAAAATCCAGTATGTATAAGTAATACTAGGGCAGACGTTAAACCAATTATTAAACAGGGGGAAAGGTCAGAATTGGGATCACCATATGATTTTAATTTTGAATCCTGGGTGGCATTATGCTCTTATCATGGTTTTTTTCTTCATTGGATATGTGTTTCATTCATGAAGGACAAGACAGACTTACCCCAGTATGAATCAAAATTGTGTAATAAAAGCAGTGTTCTTAAGGACCAAGCTTTGTCTCTTGACAAAAATGAGAACAATAAAGTGGAGAATTCAGAATAAGAAGGCGTATTCTTATAGTAGGACAAATAGACTGTTGTCCAAGATAATTACATTATATTGCAACTTCTATCAAAGAGTTTATATAAAGCCCTTATCACTTATTTCATGCTAGTTTGTGCTTGAAAGAAAATCTTGATTCTGAATGGCAGATATTTTAATTATTATAGCTGTAAATAAAGTTGAATGGACTCCGTTTTCAGCAGAAGATATGTAATGATAATAATCTGAAAAATCAGAGTTTGTTTTTTTTTTTTTTTATCATTTTACTCTATAATTCATTGATACTGTTGACTTCAGTTTCCCTTCTGTAACATGTGGTTATTCCACCTCCTTACAGCAAAGCAGTACTTAGAGGAGTAATTGATTAATTTTTGTGAAGCCCTCAGGTACTGTAGTGATAAGCATGGTAGAAAGAATGGTTAGGAAAGTAGTACTTGTCAGCTTTGATTAGCATTGTAATAACATAGGGTAAATAGATGATAAATTCACATATTGAACGTTGAATAGTTGAATTGATTAGCTGTCTATTAAATTAATACATGCTTCACAGTGAATAGGGCAAAGAAGTCTGGTGGAAATATATATATGTATAATGTACATGTAATTGTACTTAGTGAAAATATAGAACTTAACTAAAATTACATTGGCTGATTATAATTGCACAGGCACTGTACAGCAGAGGAAAACAGAATCCAGCTAAGACTATGTTTAGCTCTATTAATCATAAGGCCTTCCTTTCCTTTCCTTGAGAACTTGTTTCATTCACAGTGTATCTTTTGCAATAAACAGCAGTCTTTCATCATATAACTCTACTTCAGATTCCACCCCTCCAAGCACTGGGAGACACAGAGGTCCTTTGTATAAAAGAGTATGTGATCATTTATTTAAATTGGTATTGTTGTATTTTGGGAGACTGAATGAAATTGCTTTAATTCAGAAATAGGATTCTTTAACAGTAATAATAGTCTATGACTGTAAGGTGTTATGTGTAAATTTTTACATTTTAATAAAAGCAAAGTAGCACATCAGAGAAAATTTTACCGTATAGTTTATCAAACACTGTTGGAACTTCTAAGGCTACCACGTGATATTTTGTTTGAGCTGACTGAGATCAATTGGTTGCTTTTATCCATTAGGTAGGTAGGTTCTTTAGTGGAGTCTGGCATTTAAGTATTTGCTGACCTCAAAGGAGAGAATAGGAGTTAGACATCTATCGTTTTATTCCATGTCCTAGATGGTAGTATGTACTGGTTGTCACAGACTGTCTTGCAGTCTTCTGGTTTTCTGTCGTCTTGATAGCACACCCCCACCTCTTTCCTTCTTAGCTCAGCTCTCAGACAGTTTCTTACCTGATATTATAATTCTCCTCTATGCCTCTAATTTGTTTCTCTCGCTTGTGTCCTAGTCTCCCACTGTCCTTCCCTTCACCTCTTTGCCCATCTTCTCTTACACGTGCTTCTCCATTTCCATTTTCACCAAAAAATGTTTTTAGTTGATTTCCATTTTTCTCATCAGTCAAGTTTTTTTCCTCTCTGAGTAGTATGCCTTTCTTATCCTTTAGTACTAGCTGGGGAATCATTGAAAACACAGTAGATCAGGGGACTGACTGGCTCAGTAAAGTAAGTCTTTTGATTTGAGAGTTTTGTATGTCAGTTTGATTAATATGCTAACCTATTATCCTTGAATATTGCTGCTTACGAATATGAAATCTCAGATTGCTTCTATAAAATATGCCGAAAAGGAAACTTGTTTTGATGACTTCATCAGCTCTCTGTTCCAGTTACCTGGTGCAAAGCTAACTAAATTTTTTTCTTTTTTTCTTTTTATATTTCTTTTTTTCCTTCTAGGAATCTATATCAACCTGCAGATTTGCACAGCGAGTTGCTCTTATTAAGAATGAAGCAGTTCTTAATGAAGAGATTGACCCTAGACTGGTGAGAATTGTTTGGGGACAGAAGGAGATTGCTTGTTTTTTAGTTTTAGTAACCTAAAGCAGTCAAATAGATGTTGAGGATTTTATGATGAATCATCCTATTAAATGGATTTTAGATGCAAATTCCAATCTTCTCTGTAAAATAGCTACTACTTTTATTTTATCTGCTGGGGATAATTACCGTTAAGCTCATCTTTATAAAACCCCTAAAGGCTTTCTCAGCCCCTAAAGCAGCTGAGACATTATTATCTTTGTGCTGACAACATTATTGTCCTTACGTTGCTTCTTTTAGGGTGGTAGTTTCTAAATCATGGTCATAGATAATCGGATGTTCCTAAAGCTCTTAAAAATCTACCAATAGCACTAATCACTTGATGATGCTTTTTTATTATTTCTCTCCTTTACTTTGATCTCATACGTGTTACGTTGGATTAAGGACGTTAATGACTGCATTAATTATTTTCCTGGTAGTGCTTTTCCATGTAATCAACTGCTAAAATTGTCTTAGAGGTATTAGGTGATAGGGAGAGGTGGTTTGGTCTTGATTCACTGATGTCAAAGGGAATGGGATCAAGCTTTGAAGAAAAATGTATGTATTAAACAAGAATCCATCTGTTATTGTACTGAGCTATAGTTCATAACATGTAATTTCTAGTGAATTTCAGCTTGAAACTGCTGGTAAGTCACTGCTGTTATTTTGTCTCTTGTAGGTGTAATCCAATTAGCTTTGATCAAGTTACCATGGACAATGCTAGCAATGTAGCTACTCAGCATGGAGGGTTGTAAGGTTTAGCCATCCCAGTATTTTCTCATTTTAGGATTCTGGCAGTCAGTTGCAAGCTTTCCGCTGCTGTGGTGCACTGTTAGGGGTTAGTCTGTCACAATGTTATTGTGTTAACTATGGCTTCTGAGCCAGCTTTGTCCTTGGCACTTGCAGAAAATGAGTGGAACAGTATCTTGCTTCGAGGTGAGACAGCATGTGAGTTTCTACAGGACACCAGTCAGATTGTTTTGCTGTCAGTGCTTCTCTAGATAAATGCTTCCCACTAGGCAATTAGTTCTCAGGAATAAAGTACCACGTGGAGAGCAAAACTAATTTGTTCTTCAGCGTATTCTCTCCTTTGCTTTATTTTCTCAAGCATATTGCAGTTGCTTATGTATGTCTTGCTGTTATTTTTTCATTGTTCACAAAATGATACAGATGAATCAATGAATGAAACAAGCATTCAATGATGTGAATGTTTGTTTAACATAAAATTGCTCCGCCTTTTTCTCTGTCGTTGTCTGTAAATAACTTTTTAAAAAAGGAAGAAGGAAAAACTTTGCTTAATGTGTGGAAGATACAGATTTCTTATAAGCATATATCCATTTATTTCAATGGATATTTATTATTTCCTTTGGTGGCTTATAATCAAAAAATTTTAAATGTAATCATCATCCTCTGTCTGTCTTTCTTAGTAATGACAGAGCCTACTAGGAAGTCAATACACCAAACTTAGCATCATGGTATATTTTATGATAAAACCATCTTGATCCTGACATTTTTGATTGGAATCAGTATCATGATCTTACCATTTTAGTTCCTTTTTGATATCTTGAACCCTTTATAGTATTTGTTAATGATTTAGGTTTTGTTCCTTTAGAAATATTTGATGCAACTAGCATTTTCTATACATCAGACATTACAACACATACTGTATAAAACTTATCATACAGGTAAATAATGGTCTTTTTGCTGTCTTGTACCTAAATGCTCCCCAGATTCTTTAAGTTAATGGGAGCTGCTGGAAGCTCAGTGTTCCTGAAGTTAGGATCCTAAATCTGTCCTGCAGGCTACATTGCAATGTTGAGACAAGCGAGCCTTCTCTGGTACAACAAGCAATGGAGTACAGAAGTATGGTACTCAGGTGCAGGCTTCTGGTACTCATGGTGTATTTTAACCCTCCTAAAATGTGCTGGAAGGGCAATATGCATGGGTGCAAGCAATCCAGAGATTTCAAGAGAGTGTTGATGGCAGTTACTTGACGCAGTCGATTGACAAGCCGATGAGGGAAGCTCTATTAGACTTGTTGTAAACAATGATGGACTGGTAGGTGATGTGAAGGTCTGAGGCAGCTTTGGCTGTGGCAATGATGACATTGCAGAGTTAAAAATCCTAAGAAAAGAGAGCAAGACAAAAGAGAAAGTGCAATCACAATCCTGAGCTTCAGGAGAGCAGACTTCAGCTTGCTCAGGGATCTACTTGGCAGGATACTATTTGAGATCGCTACGGAGGGTAAAGCGGCCAGGAAAAGTTGTTGGATTTTGATGGATCACCATTCTGTGATTCTGTGATTTTCAAGGACAACCTCCTTAAAGCATAAGAAGAGTGCATTCCAATGTACATAAAGTTGGCATGGATGAACAAGGAAAACGGAAGTGAAGATGAGCTGCCTGGGAAAAATGTAGAGACATTGCCTGAGCATGCAGGGTATGGAGTTAGGAAAATCATAGCTCAGCTGGAGGTAAAACCAGCAAGGAATGTGAAAGGTAAGAAGTGCTTCTATGAGTAAATTGACATCAAAAGGAAGGCTAAGGAAAATGTGGGCATCCTGCTCGGTGGAGTAATATACCTAGTGACAAAGGACATGGAAAAGGCTGAGGGGCTGAGGTACTCAGTGTCTTTTTTGCTTCAGTTTTTGCTGGAAAGGTTTGCTCTCAGGCCCCAGGTGCCAAAGCCTACTAGCACACGCACACTAGCACTAACACACTAGTGTGTGTTCCAGTAGAGAAAGATAAAGTTAGGGAGCGCTTACACTGCTTGGATGCGAATGAGTCCATGGAACAAGATAGGATGCCTCTGTGGGTGCTGTCAAAGCTAGTCAATGCCATTGTGAGGCCACTGTCTGTTTTTGAAACGTCGTGGCAATCGAGGAGGTTACTGTTGACTGGAAAAAGGCAAATATCACACCCATCTTCAAGAAAGGCAAGAAGGACTATTTGGAGAAGTACAGGCCGGTTAGCCTAACCTCAGTCCCTGGGAAGACTGGAGCAAATTCTTCTAGAAGCCATTTCCAAGCACATGAAGGACAGGAAGGTAACTGGAAGGAGCCAAGATGGATTTACCAAGAGCAAATTGTGCCTGACTAACCTAATAACCGTCTGTAACGAAATGACTGACTCTGTAAGCAGGAGGAGAGCAGTGGATTTTGTTTACCTGGACTTTAGCAGGGCTTTTGAAACTTTATCATATAGTATCCCTACAGTGAAATTGGTGAGTTGTGGGCTCTATAAGGGTTCTATAAGGTGGATGGAAAATTGGCTGAACTGCTAGGCTTAATGACTGTGATCAGCTATACAAAATCCGACTGGCAGCCAGTAAATGGTAATATTCCTCAGAGATGTATAATTGGGCCAATACTGTTTAATGTCTTTATTAACAAACTGGATGATGGGACAAAGTGCACTCTCAGCAAGTTCATGGATGATACTAAATTGAGAGAACTGCTCAATACGCTGGAGGATAGGGCTACTATTCAGAGACCTTGACAGGCTGGGGAAATTTGCTGGCAGGAACCTCGTAAAATTCAACAAAGGCAAATACAAAGTCCTGCATTTAGGATGGAATAACCCCATGCAGCAATACAGCAGGGCACCCAATGGTTAGAAAATACTTTCCAAAAAAGGACCAGGGGATCCTGGTGGACAGCAAATTGAACGTAAGTCTTCAGTGTGTCTGTCTTTGTGATGAACACCAACCAAATACAGGGCTATATTAACAAGACTATAGGTCAAGAAAAGTTATTATTCCTCTGTACAGCACTTGTGGGACCCATTTGGGGTACTGGGTCCAGTTTTGGCTCCAGACCTTAACATGCTAAAGCAAGTCTAGGAGAATGTCATCGAGATGGTCAGGGGTCTGGAACATATGATGTACAAGGAAAGGCTGAGAGAAGTCATTTTTTTTCAGCCATAAGAAGAGCAGATCAAGGGAAGGTCTTGTCACTGTCTGCGTCTGCCTAATGCTTCAGGGTACAGAGAAGATGGAGCCAGAGTCTTCTGAGTGTTACACAGTGATAGGACAATAGGCAATGGACACATGTTGGAACACAGGAAATTGTAATTCTGTGTTTGGAAAAAAAAAAAAAAGGTGAGGAAATAATTTTCACCATGAGGGTGGTTAAATATTGGTTGCCCAGAGAGGTTGTAGAATATCCATCCTTGGATATGACCAAAATGCAACTGGACAAGGCCCCAAGCAACCTGACCTACTTGGCCCTATTTTGAGTGGGGGGTTGGACTCGATGACCTCCAGAAGTCTCTTCCAAACTATCATTTTGTGATTCTAACTCCACACCAACTCATTTATCTTGCTTCTTGTCTAGCAGAAATAAGAATCCTACACAGAAATCTTTGCAACAAGGGTAAGAGAGATGGGAAACTTAGCTATTTTTTAAATTCTTTTAAAATTTAAATATAGTATCATTTAATCTCTAGTTTTTTCAAAGGTCCATATTAATCTAACTGGTTATTTAAATCTATCAGAATATTCTTTCCAAATATTCTTTATTTTTCTTAAACCCTCAAAAAAAGAGGATAGTGTGAAGCAGGAAGACTATACCTCATTCAAAGAACCTTTCCATATTCAAGATCTGTAGTAAGAAGGCACACTACCACACTGAAAGAGTCCATACAGTAAAAAGCTAAGAGATGTACAGTTGCACTGTACAGCTCTTCCCTAAGATTGCTCTGAGGAATATTTTGTCTAGGAAGAAAGAACTTTGTAAAGTTCTTAGGAAGCTTGGGATAAAAGGAAGACAAGTAAATGAGTCATAGAAATAGGCTTTTCACAATAAAAGTTTAGGCTGCTGTTCACATCTGGAGCAGCAGAGTAGCTCTGCAGACTAATGGATAAAGCATTTAGGAAGAAGAGATGTAACAATCCACATTCATAAAGCATAAAACATTACTGCATCAGGAAAACACATTTCTCCTTCTTTTGATATATGTAACAAAAGTATACTTCATTTTTTATTAATAGTTGATTACTTTGTTCTTTGAAAGACTGTATATGCCTCTAGCTTATTATGTCCCAGATTTGTTTGAAGAGGTGCTCTGTATTGATGAGATTTATTATATTAATAAGCTTCTATTAGTTTATTTAATATAATTTTCTGCACATGGAAAATTTATTTCCTTTCTAAATATTAAGAACACCTACTAAGGATTGCTCGGTTCAACATAGCATAGCAGATGATGACAGCTAACGGAGCAGCTAGACTTGCATGCTGCACATCAAAGATGTTTTCTGTCATGGGAAATGTTTGAGTGAGGTTACACTGGTCACACCAAAGCTGGGTAACAGGGATATAATGAAGGAAGAACTATAGACACATTTCAATATATACAAAGTGGCAGAGACATCAGATGAAAAGCAAGTTCAAAAGTAATGCTATTTTATTACTTTGTTTATATGTAAACAGACATTATTTAAAACTGATAGTCCTTTATCAACATAATTGTAAGTTTGAAGTTTAGCTTTTCAGTTCTAAAGAATATAAAATCTGAATGAGCTGCTCTAATTTCAGTGACCCTATTTGCTTTTATTATATCTTATCATTGTTCTTTTAATGGGCAAAATCTTTACTGTATTTCTAATTTTTCTCATGACTAATTTGTAATCATAAGTTTTATGTATTTTATTCTGATATGACTTTCTGAACTGACTAGGAAATGTATTTGCCTTGAACGCTGAACCATAGAAGGGAAAAATTGGATTAAAAGCATAAGAAGCATTTGATTTCTTAAAATGGGTGGATTAGACGCTTGCTGTTTCCTTTATTGTTACTTAACACTCGTTAACACATTTCAGTCATGGATAATGATTATACCTTTATTTTCTCTTGTTCTGAAAGTTCAGAGGGAGTAAGAGTATCTTATCAGGTTATTTTGCTGTTTTTTCATTTTTCTTTTCAAACAATTTCTAACAGTAACAGAATCACGAATAAAAAAAGAGAAGACACTACACAATTCTGTCTTTCTATCTTTCTGTTCTTGTCCTTCCTTCGTAGGCTTTGTAGTAGTAAATCATGCAAAAAAAATTCCTTCCTTAGCCACAGAAGCCTTTGATTGAGGTGGAACATGTGCAGGCTCCTGAACATTTACTACATCCTGTGGAGCACAGATCTGGTATGTCTCGCTCTGCAGGATCATTTAGCAAGTAAAACAAAAGTGGGCTAGGAAGGATTAGAAATCCATTCCTTCTTTTGGAAAAGTGAGGAGGAGCACAGTTACCTGGGCTGTATATGGCTCTGTGCTCATTGTGGAATTTGTTGCCCATCCTTACTACTTAAAGTATATTACCAGGATGAAATTATTCAGTAAACTGCTGGACTTATGATTTTTTTCATAAAATCAAATGCCATTTGTTTACATAATTCATCATCATGAAAGCTGAATACATGCTTTATAAACGGAGTGTATAATACCTTCTGATAGATCTGAGATAACTCTGACTGCTCTACAAACTTTATTCTTCATAATGGAGACTTCTTCACTCATTAAAAAGATGTGCATGTATCCATTCTACTTTTTAAGCAGCTCAGCAGTGCCTCTCTCACTCCTGACCAAAAGGACTTAGTTTAAACTGAAAACCAAGCTGTTGACCCTGAATTAAAATTGAATCTCTTCTGGCATTCATTTAAAAATATATATTACAATATTATGTATCAACAGATTTTTGTTTGCTTTTATATTACTTGAAGATCAATGCCTTATCCTTACCGTGAAAATGGCATTTCCACTGTTTTCTGATTAAGTTTAATTATTCTAACAAATTTGAATATTGAGCAAAGGTGGTGTATCAGTCCTGCTATTTTAAACTCCAGCCCCAAATGGTATTTTATTGACTTAGAAAGTGGAAAAGACTACATCACAGTGTAGCGCCAAAGTGAGGCATCCTAAAATCAGGTTAAAATGCTTATCCTGCATTATTCTTGAAGGACTCTTACAATGTCTATAATTAGCAATTCACCACTCTAACAGATTCTTAGATAAAAACATTTTTGAACTAGTGTAATCTTTTATGCTGTATGGTAACAAATATGTTATCAGTAAGTTTAGAGTAAAAAAAAAAAAATTGAAGAATGTTTAGAGTGTTTTTAATTTTTGAAATAAAAATAGCCATTCAAAGCTTAGGAATTAATTGTTAAAATTAACAATTAAGTAAATATAAATGTTTGGAAGAATTTTAATGTCCAGTGAATATGCATCAACAGTCTCAACAATCTTAATTCTAGAAATTGTATACAATCAAGTATGATCCTTTTTTCCCTGAAAACATGCCTCTATGGAGTGGTTATTTGCACATGGAATCAATGCATTCATACTCATCTAAAAATAACATTGGACTTTCGATGCGTTTGAGGTGTCATAACGTGATATATCATTAGAATAATCAGTCTTGAAGTAACTAAACATTTGTTCATTCATGTTTTAGACTTAGGGACTTGCATATTGTGCTTGCTTCACAGAATGTGACCATAGGAGGATAATAAATTGTAAAATATATTTTTATACAAACTTTTTTTCGGAAGGTACAAGGTCCGGTAATAAGCAATTAAAATTAAGAAATCCAGTATAGTTCTCCAAGTCACTTCCTCAATTATTACTACTCATTAATGTCATTTAATTCTCTTTATGTTGCTTTATAGCATTCATTTGTTAGCAACTGATACATCTAATAATTATAATATGCTGTAATTCTATATGGAAGTAGGTTGTTAGATGTAAAAACTTTACTTTTATACTGTAGTTGTCTGTCTTCTTCTGTCAAAATCATCAGTTCTATTTTAAATGTGTTTTCATCCCTAACAAGCAAAACTAATGAGTCTCAAAGCTCTTTTACTCCCATGGCAAATTACTTTTCTCTTTTGCAAATAATCTTTTGAGCTCTTTCTGTATAGCCATATCTTCTAACACGTAGAGTTTACTGAATTTGGAAGACTTTTCATGTTTTTATGAATGGAAAAGGGAAAAAAAAGTGCTTTATGGATTTAAGGCATTAGGACAGTTTTAAAAATGAGATACTGTTTAAAAAAAAGAAAAAAGAAAAATATAAAGTGTACTATTTTCCTAAACTCAACCTTCTAATGCAAAAATAACCTAGTTATTACTTTGTAGGTGATGCATGCTTTATTACTTTACTGTTTGTAGATGATTGCTCAACTGAAGAGCGAGATCCAGGAGTTGAAGGATGAACTGGCACTGGTGACTGGCGAGCAAAGAACAGCAGAGCTCTCACAAGAAGAACTACTTCGGTAATACCTCAGTTGTTTTCATTTTCTTCTTTCATGATGAACATTTTGTCAGCTTCTTTGTTGGCATAAATATTTAAATTCATCTCAGAGCTTTACAATTCTCGGAGATAACAATAAAGTGAAGTCAGGTGCCAGGTTACAATGGCAGCTTTCCATGAAAAGCTGTATGAGGCTGCTGGCTTCATTTTGGCAGCCTCATCTTTGAGGAAATGAAGTGAGGTAAATGCAAAGGATGAGAATGCCTATCAGATGCCAGGCAAGAAGTGTTATATAATAGTATAGAATAAAAAAATCAAAATCTCTCAATACTAGGTATAAGATCTGAGAAAAACTAAGAAATATTCTTTGTACTGAGAAGTTCCTGCTGCAGTGCTAGTTTGATATAAACAAAAAAAAAAAAGAAAAGCTTGTATTTCCAATACACAATAAATCAATGTCTTAAAAGCCAAATCTTCAAAATTTTAACTACTGAGCGTACTATTGAAAATGCATGATTAATTCATACAAGTGTTTAAGAGCTCTTAGGTAACTGGTCATTAAAGCATGTAAGAGTATGCTGTGTATAAGGTAGAAATATTCACTGAGTCTAAAAGGTCACCATAACTAAATTCAATTCCCAATTTTGAAAAATTATTGCTTCCGTAAGATGGACCTATTTAATCTCTTTGCCTCATCCGAATAAAAATGTACTAATTGCCTTGAGATTTTGGTTGGCTGGTAAATTAACGGTAAATAATTTGAAGCTGTTTACTATCTGATCTTAATTTCCCCTGGAACTAATCCAGAAGAATACTACCAGTGCTAAGCATCTCCCCTGCTGTGTAGGAGATCCTGGAAAAATGAGACATGCTGCTACCTTTAATCTTGAGTTTCTTATGTAGAGAGTGGTTGTTCTTCATTCTTATTTCTAGTTATTTTGTTTGTTTTTTAAATTCAGAAACTAAATAATGTCTGTATCAAGGATGAGGAACTAGATAGCCTTATGTAAATGTTTATTTTACAGTGTTAATCTGAATGATTTTCAATATAGGCAGCTGCCAGTATAACCTGCCAACTGGAGTTCCTACCCAGTTCCTAATGGATATGCTATTTAGCATTCTACCCCAAAGTATATGAGTTTTCCTTCCCTATGTCAAATGCACCAAGGACTTTACAGATATAAGAAAATAAAAGCATAGAAAGAAAATATAAGAAACAATAAAAGTAAGTTTCTTTTTCTTTAAAAGAGAAATTAAATGCCCTTATTGGCTAGTTTCTCTTTGCCCTGACAGAACTAGTCCTTAGGAAGATGAGTGACTCTCAGTGACTTTATTGTGATGTACTTATATAGTCTGTACATTAATTAAAATATTTGCTTTCCTAACTTTATTGTAAACATCTATCACATGAATTTTCCGCTATGGTCTTGCTTACAGTTTGGTTTTGTAAGGAAATCACATTTTGGGAAATCATTAGGATATTTTCAGGCCATAGCTATAACTCACATTTCCTGAAATTTTGTACTGGCTTTTTGCCACAAAACTGACAGTCTTATAGGTGGAAATGGGTTTGCAGTTGATGAAAGTTTTTAATATGAATGTGCAAAGGAAAACGAAGAATGTGAAGTAGTGGATACAGTTGCAGTGAGGCATACATATGTCTGGGAGGCCTTGTATCAAAAATGTGTTAATAAAAAGATTCATCAGTTCTGTATATTTTTTTAAACCTGCATAGGACAATAAATAGTCCATTATTTTATCAGAAAAAGGTTGCTAACAGAGACCTCAGTTATATTAGGACAAAATAACATTTTACATTTTTTTTAATTTATCTTTTAGTTATATTTCCTCAGAGTCATGTAGCACATATGTTCATTGTTTTAAAGATATGTTTTTGCTTGGAACAAACACTCTAATTAGGATACAGAGCCAAACTTAAGTGCTAGTGACTGAAATACAAGACATTTCATGAAGGCCAATAATCAACAAGAAGGACCTCAAAAGTTTACCCTCAGCAGTCTTATATTCCAAATAGTGACTTTGTTCAATGATCGTTATTTTTATTGCAGACTTAAAGTGGACAACATGATTGGTTTTACAGAACTTTTTATGGGTGGCATAGTCTCAAACAGAGCGCACAAGATATTGCTAGGGAATTCCTGTCATAGGCATGAGCCAGTCAGACTCATTTATTAACATGATATGCTGAATGGAATGTTGAAAGATGAGTCAATCTTTTCTTTAAACGATTCAAGTGGGGGAAATATCAAATGTCAGGCTCTGTTTATTATATTATTTTGTGTATTTTTGCACACGAAGGTTCACAGCTCAACAACTGTGAGTACTACTGTGTGTACTACTTTAATGAAAATCTTTCTATGCTTTTGAAAATGTACGCATTTTGACCTTGATTTCATATGTCAGCAATATTTATGTGAGCATACTGGTTTTGGTTGGTTTGAAGTTCCTGTCATGATCATTTTTCAACTTTGAAATATATGAGCATCAACAGATGGCATCTAAGTGTTCTGTCTCAATTTAGAATCTATCAATGCATAACATAGCAAATCATTATGATAATTCTGTTTATTGAGACTGATCATCTGGGTTTAGGGCTATTCATTATCTGGAGAGTTTGCACAAATTAATAAATATACAAGTGAACAATCCAAACATAAGCATTGACTTGGATGAGGAGTGATAAAAGCATAATTTACTATTACTGAAACATGTCTATGTTGTGGTTTACATCTAGTTATTATATAGTGAAACCTAAATAATATTACTTATTAGGAGACATAGGGAGCAGATTGCTATGCCACAGAGTAGAGGAAAAGAGACATGGTATATGTGATAATGCAGCATAGTGTTTTGCCATTTATTTGGAGTCACCACACAATAATGGCTTTTAGGAGAATAATAAGTACTGTAGGGGATTCTTGACAGAATAATACTTTTTTTGATTGTTTTTTTTAACATGCATGGAGAGGAAATTATAATTAAGATTGTTATAGATTTCAAATACTATTTGCACGTTTCTGCTTAGTTATCTTCTGCTTAACCTTAAATGAGCTGTATCTCAACATATATATATTTATTTTAATAATCTAAGTTTACATAGTTCTTTTCAAAATTCTCAGGTTTAACGTAAGTCTTAATGTGATTCATTACCTCCTAAGGAGGAGGTAATTAACTAGTAAGGAGAAATGTTACTAAATGTAAACTTAACAAAAATAGATGTGTTTTAATATTTTAATTCTTCTTATTTAAGGGAGATTAGTGCAAAATTAATCTTCTGAAAGCATTCTCTGCCAATGTTCCAATGTTTGTAATTATTCTTTAATTCTGGGTGCAGATGATCAAAGGTACAAAACACATCAGTAAAAAACTCTATAGACTAACTAAATGTTTATTTTATGGTCTCTGCATAAGTCTTTGTCTCAAACGCTTTTCAGTAGAGGGTAGATGCTGATATGACAGTAGACCCAGTGGGTACAGCTATAGATCTAATAATATATTTTAGTCTAATAAAATGGAATTGATAAGCCATTGGGTTTTTGCCCTATATATGTGTTGTGAGAAATACATGTAAGTGGTTGCCTTGGAAATAAAAATTTTAACATAATATTAATATTTAAGTATTTTATATGTTTCGTGGCATACTAAGTTATGCCAAACATTTGTTAAAATAATGAACTTCATTCCACTTGCTTACTTGCAGGGTATTCCAGTGAAGTCAGTGGTCTACTTACTGGGGTTAAAATTGTTAGATTTTTAAAGTTTGTGTGTGAACATACTGTAGCTGGTTCTTTTTTTTTCTTCTCTTTTTTCTTTTCACTTGAATCGAAGAAGTATTTTTTTTTTTTTAGTTAACGGAAGAAAACACATCTGTCAAATAGGCTTTCCCAATTACCACTACACTGTCACATTGTTGTTCACTAAATTTACAACAAAATGGAAAACAAATGCTCCTGACTTTGCTTTTGAATGATAAATTATTATGCAACACAGTTTGTCCTGAAAATAAAGCTACAGCTGTCTCTGGAATTCTTAATTCAAAATTCTATTTTAAATAGTTAGCATTTACATTACCATGTCATATTTTTAGTTTTATTATTTTATTCTCATAGATGTTTAAACATACATGAATTCTGCTGCTCTCATTTTGTTTATTTAAAAGCACACATAAAACGTTCAGCTAGACTACATAAGTGATTCAGAATGGAGTTCATAAAATGCTTCCAAAATCTGAATTGCTTGCTTTGGATTTCAGCATCTACTTCCTCAACAGAAATGGGCTGATCTCTAAATATTTCTTTGAGCTAGAGAACTAGTTCCTTGTTTAGGGGGGGGAAAAAAAAAAAGGGAACACTTTGCACTTTTGAAAAAAGTACGTAAAATGGCATCATGCATCCCAAATAGAAGGAAATCGTAAACTCACAGGCTTCTATATCATACTTTAGAATAGAATTAAATTGCATTCAAATAGATTTTTTTTTCTTTAGTGAGAAGCATGCCAAAAATAAAAGGGAGAGGCCTTTTTGTTTGAATGGTTTGGGAATTTGTTGTTGTTGTTGTAACTGAGCTCAATAGCAATTTACAGTATGTGCCCAGAAAGTCAGGACTTCAAATCAAAGTCGTGTGTTCCAGAGCACCCACGCTTCCAGAACCTTTGCCAGTTGGAATTCTCTCATAACAGGATCGGAAGTACTGGCTTAGCACTTTAATTTATTAATAACTTTACCTTATTTCTTTCAGATACATATGTTTTTACAGCTTCTCTATTTTTTACTTCAACAGTCATATATTGTTCATCTTATGCTAGTGCTGGATTTCTCATTACTTCTTTCTGTCTTTCATTTTTCTGTTTCAACTTTGTGACATCTGTATGCTATCACGGTATTAACAGTATTGCACTGTTTTACAATGTAGAGCTTTAACACTTAGTCATACTTAAGCTGTTTAACAAATGGTTTCATTTACAAAGCAGAGCAAATGTTCTTATTTGCTGATCTCAATGTT